GGTCTTAGCTTCAAAATTACGGCTTATTTTTTGGTGTTACATTTCCATTTTTGGAGTTAGAGAAGGATCTACAAGGCTAATAAAAAGTTGTGGGACTAGGTGTCTTGCACTATACAAAAATTGAATCCGATTTTAATGTAGTGTAACTTGATATAAACCTTATAAATACTTTAATATCATATATAATTCTTTAATTTAAAAACTCTAATGTGTCAAGTCTTAATATCTGAACAATTTTGATTAAAAAGTTAATACAAAAAAACATTAATAATTGTCCAGGATATGATGTGAAATATGTCATTTCGTTTGTTTCAAATTATTGTGATTGGTTATAGCAGTAAAGAATTACAAAGACTTTTTGCAACTGAAAATTATATGATACTTTATTAATTATTTGACTTAATAAACTTCACAACAATGGGCTATTCGTATGAGAGTTTCTTTACAAGAGCTGGTCTCTGAAAGAAAAAGGAACGTTTACCATAAACATTGTTTATTTGGAGCATTCAGAAATTTTAAGCTAGCAGATTTTGATAGAGCTAGGATTCATAAAAGTCGCATAATGATCCATATAGATTGTATGAAGCTTATTCGAGTTAATGATGTAAACCTAAGAAATCATTACATTATTGTTGGCAAATATTTGTGGAAATTATCAAACCAAATGATTTTATGCAGTATCATTGGGATTTTCAATGTTCTAAATCCAAAACACATAACAGTAGTGCACGAATTATACAAAAAAACTCATCAGAATTATAAACCAGGGCCTATGTTATTAACAAACCAAGTTGGAATGTTGTAATACTCCTAAAGAAAAGAACTTTCTAGGGATGCTGAATTCTGATTATAGGTATACTGTATATGGGAGTATTTGTTTGTGAGGGATACTATTTATATTGGTGATCGTTCCAATTGGCCAATAAGATTTTGGGTAAAGTTTTTGGCCTGGATGGATGTTACCCAAAACTATCAGCTACAAATTTGAGTCAAAAATATTATTATTATCAAACTGAAAAATTTCGGTTTTCCCGAAATATTTATATTAATGCTGAAATTGGAAATGTGAATATCCTTTTTCGAATTATATTTGATAATTGTTACTTGCTTGCTGCTTTTTTAATTTAAAAACAGCCAAACCTCGTCACAACGGATCCACGGGACATATTAATATAAGAATAAAATCTGTTATAACGTGAATTTAATTATAATACAATGTGGCAAAGTTTGACTATACTTGAATATTTTGTCCGAGTACATAAAGGGCCTCTTCGAATTGGTGCGCAATATTAGTTATCGCACTGGTTTTTGTAATTTTTTAATTTTGAAAGTCAATGACGCATATAACAACAAACTTTTAAAAATCTAATTGGTTGCCTATTATCTGGATTTAAAGCACAAATTAAATAGCTGTGTCAATTTTTACTTGATATTAATACTTGAGGATTCTTTATTTGTTGTTTTTTTTACAAAGCGCAAAAATCACGTCATGTTCAAAGCTGTACTGGTTACTCGAGCTTAAAACACATAATGATGAGTCGATTTTGGTACGGAAAACGGGTTTTATACAATATTCGATGTTGGTTATTGCAATTGTTAACTTATGCGGTTTTTTATCACACAAAATTCGGTTCGGTTTGATTTCGATTAGCCTTCTAAACAACTCCATTCGGAATTTTACTTATCAAAACGGGTTTCAAGTGTTTTTCCGAAATTTTATTAATAAAATTCTTAATTCTGCCCTTTTTTTGTGTATTGAAATGAATTTATATCTCTAAGCCCCAATAAATAACAATCCACACAAAGCTATACTCATATGAAAACTTACATCTTTTCAAAACTCTATCAATATGAGAGAAGATTTGATGCTAAAATTACACGTATCTGGATTCTATTTATTAATATTGACAAATCGACTGACTGTTATTGGTTAGGCAAAAGATCAAAATTTTATTTTTAATCATAATAATAAATAAATACAAAATTTTTTAAAATAATCTTCTACATAATGGACAACTTGTAGAGCCTGAGCTACGAAACCACTAATAAAATAAAATGAATTGTATTAATTGGTTAATTAATTAATTACTAAATATTTTTTAAAAAAGCCATCAATAAATTGATCCGTTTTACCTTGTAAAGACATGCTGGGTGGAATCTATTTTTACAAGTGTTACATCTTTTAGTTGGTAAAGATCTGTCATCAAGACTAATGACTGAATAACAAATTGTACAATCTTCAACTCCTTGGAAGCGTAAATTGATGTTATTTTTAAACAAATTTAAAGCAACTTCCAAATTACCATTCTAATAATAATAATAATTTAATTGTAAATATCTAATAAGAATAATATCATCAAAATTTATTTGCGTACCTGAGAGTTAACAATAGTTTGTATAGGTAGTTTTGCCCATTTCAAATCTGTAACTTCTGTAGTACCTATTCTTTCTATAGTATTAAATTCTGCTAGGCTCAATGGGTAATTAGTTGGAAGTCGTATACTAAGCTCCATAATATATTCATCCATATTGAAAGTGGAAATCACCTCATTGGAACTTCTTGCAACTCTTATTGAAAACTTATCATCTTCCAATTCATATCTTACATTATCATTTAGAAGTGTGTCAAATTGTTGTTGGATAATTGATGAACTGAAATGTTTTTCGGTGTAGCTATATATTTTTTTATAGGATATAAATTTTATTAGTATTTATTATTATTTATTCAATAGAAGATAAAAATCTTACTTGTTGATGGCAATGCTCAATTGACGTTTTTTACATTCTGCATGCCAATTTCTAATTTTTCAAAAAATTTTAATAAATGATTATAATGTTTTATAAATTGTTGATTTACTTATTCATTTATTTATTTTTAATTATTTACCTTACGAGTGATGGAAAATGTATCAAAGACCGATAATATAAATTTGCACAAAGTAAAGGAAATCCAACTTCTGAACATACCCCGCGATCAAATCCTAAACACAAGAAATATTCCATAAATTAATACTTATTATTTTTATTTTAAAAAAAAATTATGAATATATTATATACCTTCAACGTAAAATTCTCTAAAATCCCATTTTGCTAAATCATATGGTGATGTTGATTTAACAAATCCTAAAGTCTCAAATATAAAACCAAAGAGTCTTGATGTCAAATCAAATTCTTTTAATTGTGCGATGAGTTCCGACTTTAATCTAAAAGTCTGATATTTTTTAAAAGAAAAAATTAAGATATTTGAAGGTTTTAAAATAATATATTCGAAAAAGATTTATATAATAATAATAAACTTACAGTATTTTC